CATGAGAAATAAACTATCAGTAATTTCACAGCAGATCAAAATTGACGGTGTAGATACTCTCAACTTGCCGCGTAACTCTGTTCACGATGCATATATTCTGCGTTTCAATATCAAAACCCACGCGACCGCATCAGCAACGGTAACGGCAAAGGAAATTCTTGACGCCATTTCAGAAATTCGTCTTGTTACCGATTCTACACGCGTTCACTATGCTTTAAACGGTCATGATCTCGCACTTCTTAACGCAAGAATTCAGGTAAACAGCACGGCTCCATTCATTGATTCAGAACCAGTTTCAATGAACGCAGATGATACCCACGACTACGATTTCTCTTTATACCTCGATGAAGGCGACATTCTCGCAGTACTCCACACTAACGTAGAATTAACCGTCAAATTTGCTCATCAGGTTAAGGCAAATGTCGAAGTTCTTGATGCAAGCGCAAAGATCACGATTAAAGAAAGCATCTATTCCACTCAGGAATTGGCTTCTGTTTTCGGAAAAGATTTCGAGAACGTTGCAGAACCTAAGATCTATGCTCAGACTGCGTCATGTAATGCAAATTCTGAGTTTACCGGATTTTTTGATTTACCAACCGGTACACTTCTTCGCGGTGCTATGCTGTATATTCAGTCTGCTGGAGCCTTCCCTGATCAGATGGGAATTCTTCGAACAGTTCCCGACCGTATTGAGTTAAATAAAGAGGATTTTGAAACCCATCTTGAACTTGATCAGATCATCTATAAGACTGTTCTTCCGGTCGATAGAACTAACCATACCGCCGCGTATGTTATGGACTTCGGAACTCAGTGGCAAGCCAATAACCTCGGTAAAAATGCCTGGTCTTACGCTAAGGGAGATGTTCAACTTGCGGCGAAGACGTCCGCGGCACTTAACATCCGATATATCTCTCTTGAGAGTATGGTTAATACGGCTGTATATGACAAAACCGTATCGTTTACTGAATACTAAGGGTTTTCAACAACCCTTTTTTTCAATTGAGGTGTTGAAAATGAAATCTATTTTTATTAATTTTGCCGTGGTGGTCTAAATGGTTACCGCAGATTCAAGAAATCCTGGCGGCGGTAGCGTTGGATCGTACACATCCGGAAGTTCTTCTTCAAGTTCCAGGAGTTCCTCAAGTTCAAGCAGTTCAGGAAGTTCTTCAAGCCGCTATAACAGCAATTCCTATAATGCCTTAGTTTCAGCGATGAGTTCAGGGGGTGGGAGTTCCTCAAGTTCAAGCAGTTCCGGAAGTTCTTTGAGTTCAAAGAGTTCTGGCGGAGGTTCTATCAGTTCCTCAAGTTCATCGAGCAGATATAACAGTAATGCAACTCAGGCGTTAATATCTGCGATGAGTTCCGGCAGTTATACCGTTCGTCTTGATTCGTACACAACGGGCGGCAACTCTCAAACATATTCAGTTACCGACAATTCAACCGGAAAAACAACCGTTACCGCGTTTGCCGGCATTACTCCTGAAGCGCTCGCACAATATGATCTGGCACATGGCAACGTTTCCGCCGCAAAGATGGATACAGCAATAGCAAAATATGCTTCAGACAACCAATTAAGCGAGAAATACGGGGATAAAACCGGCGTAAACTACTATAATTGGGACGGATGGACTTATAACGCTCAGACTGGAAAAGTGGACAGGCCGGATAACGCTATAGTAAGTACGGGAACGTATTTTCTGGACGGAAACGGAACCATGGAGACTGCATCAGCAGTTAGTTCATCATCGTATAATGTCACGAATTCCGGCGGAACGCTTACGGCGTCTTCTTCTGGTGTTTCCGGGGGTGGTGGTGTAAGCACCGGTTTATCTGTTGTTGGAAGCGGAAACAATCAATCTGTAGGGGGTGGCGGCATTGGTGGCGCTGTTCTCGGTGGCGTTGATTGGGTGCTTAATGGCGTTGATTCGATTGGAGAACAAGGAATTGTCGGGCAGATACTTCAGACTGGAATTGAATTTTTTGCTCCTCTGGACGCTTTCAGGCTCGGTGAAAAACTCGCGAAAGGGGAAGAAACCAACTTTTGGGACTATTTCTTAGCCGATGTAGATGTACTTGCCATTATTCCCGTGTTCGGGTGGGTCGCCAAGGGTGTTAAAACGGCAATAAAAGCGGCTGTAGGTATTGGAACGGTTGCCGGCGGAATTGGTCAGGGAATATCAGAGGCAAATAAACTAATTGCTGAAGATACGACATTCTCCGATTCGCTTGAGAACAATGTTATCGATACCATGCGGGGTGATACTACGATAATTTTAGATAAATCAGATACTAAAGAGAACGTGTTCAGGTCTAACACGTCAAAAATTATTGGTGACAGCAATTTAACGCAAAGCGCAAAACTCACTAATAATCAGGGGGTCGTTGAACAGCATGAAAAGGACGAACTGGATTTATCGGACGCTCTAAACAATGTTTTCAACGGTACATTCTACGACAATCCCGACAATTACGGAAGTGTTTCCGGCGGTTCTGGGGTCACAATTAATACCATGACATCAGGCGGCAGTTCCATTAGTGACATCATCGAACGGGCAAAGCCGTATCTACCTATTATTGGCGCTGTTGTCGTTATCCTTATTGTTATTGGTGCTTCCAAGAAAGGAGGTAAAAAGAGGTGATTGAAAATGGTAGTATCATTCATTAAAACTGCAGGTACAAAATTAGCAACATTTGCAACAAACCAAAAAACAAAGGTAGTAAATAAACAAGCGGCGGCACAAGAGAAAAAGAATGAAGCCAATGCTAATCTTACTAAGGCTAACTCTCGCTTAACGTCAGCGAAACAAGGTTCAACTGGAGCACCGAAGCCGGCGACCTCTCCAAATACAACTCTTCAGGGCACATCGGGAACGCCGAAAACTACAACTCAGCAAACATCAGGTCTGAAGAATACCTCAAATTCCATCGGGAAAAGCATTGCCAAAACTACCCTTACAACGGTCGGAACTTCGGCGGCGGTGGTCGGCGGAACTATGGCGTTCTCAAATCTGCTTCCGACATTGACGGATAAGGCAACCGAATTATTTGGTGGTTCTGGAAACTCTTCCGTAATTGATGGCGCCGGTGTACTCGGTGACGGTTTATATTCTCCTTACCAGTACGATAGCCTATACTCAAACGGTGATGCTGGATATGGAGAGACTGGATATGTAGAGGGTGATCTGTATGGCGATGAGGGCGGCACTGGTGGCGGCGGTGTATTTGATACTATACGTCCGTATATTCCCGTTATTCTCGGTGTAATTGCTGTTATCGTCATAATCGCTCTGGTCACAAGAAAACCAAAGAACAAGAAAACATCAAGAGGTAAGAAACATGCTAACAAACAAGGAAAAGCAACGCTTACAACAGTTAAAATATCCTAAAAAGGCTATGGATACCAACAATAACGTATCGTTAGCAAAACAACTCAAGCAGAGGAGATTTTTGTTATGAGTGCCTTCAAGAACGTAGGGAAACAGATTGGATCTTCTGTCGGTCAAATCGTAAAATCAAAGCCGGTGAAAATAGCGGTCGGAACTGCGGCGTTAGGTGGCGGTCTGTATGTTGCCGGAACTGCCGCCGGAGCCGGTGCTTCTAATTTTGTCGATTCTTCAGGATTGGGTGGGCTTGTCACTCTCTTTAATCCAAAGGCAACACAAGAACAGAAACAAGGTGCTGGCGGTCTGATTGGTATTTTCATCGCTATTATTGTGGTTCTGCTCGTTGTTTTCTTGATATTGCCTCAAATAAAGAAGGTGATGAAAAAGTGATGGAAAATTATGAGTTCTACGCACTCCTATTTTCAATATTGGGGGGTTTTGCGGCGTCATTTTCCTTTATGATGTCGATTAGAGCAATGATATCGAGCAACACTGAACGGGTTCTGAAACTCGAGACGTGCACGAAATATGAATTTGAAAAATGTCCTTATCACCAGTCAGGAACGGAGATGAAAAACTATGAATGAACCTTGGGCAATTGAATCTATTTTAAACGGTACCGGCGGCGGCGGTGGCGGTGGCAATCCAATTCCGCCAATAACAAACATCTATGTGCCGGTCGAAGCATGGCAGTATCAAGACAGAATTATTGACGTTGTCGGTTTTCCGTGGGTCGCTGATGTACCATATCCTAATGTAAAGGCAAGCGATTTTGTCAGTGTCATATACGGTCAGGAAGACGCTGAAAGCGGAATTTTTTCCAATGTATGTGAAAGCCGAACGGATGCAGTCAGGATTTTCGCTTCTGAAAAACCTTCAAAGAGAATCCGAATCGATACGCTTTCCGGATTCCGTCCGAATGCTTCCAATTCGATTTGGGGGCATATCACCGGCGACATTCAAACTCAGCAGGATCTTATCGATTTGATTGGGACTGAAGGGGGCAGTAATTCAGATTGGGAAGAAGATGACATATCCAAGAAAAGCGCCATCCTGAATCGTCCGTTCAAGACTATCGGAGAAGGTTTAACCGTATCTGAAGGGGTTTTGTCGGCGACTGGCGGCGGCGGTGAATGGGGAACAATTACCGGAGACCTTCAGCAACAGATTGACCTGATACAGTATATCCAATCACGTCCGACCATCCTTTCAGGAACTACCGATCCAACTCCTGAAATGGGAAAAGTCGGTGACTTGTATGTGAGGTACGCACTATGATTTTAATTGATGATTTTGACGCCGAAAGCGATGTTATCTCGATTGATAGCACGGTAGAATTAGACGAACGCGGAACGCTGATGATAGCCAACGGCAATAATTATGCATTCGTAAAATACAAGGGGAAACTCTCGGAAACAGAATTAGATAATCCCCGAATCATTGACGGTGTGCTGTGCGTGTATCCGTCAGGTACTACGTGGATTGATAAAGCATTGCGCGATGCAGTGCAAACAATTGCCGCAGACCCTGACAAAGACAACGAAGAACGGTTAAGGGAGATTTCCGAACTGCTCGGCTGGAACGATACCCTGAGCGCGTATTCAGGGGCTATGGTCAATGAAGACGGCAGTAAAACGGGATATTTGCCTGATGGAACAGAAATAACGTTTCCGGCGGATAAAATTGAGGAGTGGGACGGCAAATTATCGGACTATTACACGCGTTATAATATGGCGATGAGGCGGTTATAATGACATGGACTGATGCGGATTTTTGCGCCGGAGACGGTAGTATATCCAATCCATTCGTTATTCACGATAAACCAGGGGGATATACTGCCGTTGAACAGTTTATGAATGGTATTGGGGATTCTAATTATGTCGGGAAGGGGTATTATTTCCAATTAGGTCAAGATTTGGATTTTGACGGGATAACGGTAAAATGTGTTGGTAGTTCATCCACCCCATTCGTTGGTACAATTGATGGTAATGGTTATACTATCAAGAACATTCATGCAACAATTACGTCAAGCGGAGTGGCAGTATTTGTGTATGGAGGTGCAAATTCCTATCTGAAAAACTGTGTATTCGACGGCACTGTTATAACACGAAGTTTCGGATATAGTGTTTGGTCATATCTTCTACAGATGTATTCTATTTCCCACTGTGTGTTTAATCCTACAACTATTATAGGGACGTCTGGGTACTATAGTACTATTGAAAGAATATATTCTAAAGGAGAAGTTGTAAATTGTATAATACATGAGAATTTTGAAAACAACTCAATATATAGTAATATTGCTTTGTTTACTCCGTATGATTCAAACCCGTCGTATAATGTGAATATCCTATTATTAGGTACATATTATTCATTTACATTAAATTCGTTTTCTACTCATGTACAGGGCACATATAATTATATAAATAACTGCATTCAACTTGGTGATAAAATATTTTCTGGAGGAAAATATGGAAGGCTTACTTCATATGGAGATAGCGGAGCAAGTAAAATAAATATGTCTAATTGTTATGCTCGTGAAGATTGTACGGTTGGCGGCTCAGTCCCTACCCAATACTGCACTAAAACCGGAATAAATGGTGAAAATGTATCATCAGATGTCTATTCTCAAAAGGGATTCTGGGACGGTACAGGCGTAGATGGTACGGTCTATTTAGATTGGGATTTTGATAATGTCTGGGATTGGGATGAGACTAACCTTAGACCAATTCTGAGGATGTCACATGCGCCTATTCCGTCACTGGTAACGGGTGTGTGGGTCAAAACTGAGAACGGATGGAAACAGAGCACAGATTTAACATATATGAGGTAATAAAAAATGAAAGGTAATACTAATGCAGTAAATGGTATATCCAAAATCATGTTGCATGGTCAGAAACTGCCTATAACAAATCAATCGGTCACAATTCCGGATATTTCCAAGACTGCTTACGGCGTTGCAAAAGCCGGAGAAGGAATTAAAGTACAAAACGGAGTTATCTCTTCTCAGTCTTCAGTCATGAACCATGTTCAATTGACGTGTCAGGAACCGGCAGGAGATAAACTCATTCTGATTGATGAACACGGAGGTTATATGGCAAGCGGTGGGGTTATTGGTATTCCGCCATTCGGTTATTACATCGAAAATCCAGGAGCAGTAACAAAACGTATCACTCGGATAGAATTTGATGCTGAAAAATTAGTTACCCAGTCTGACGGTCACTTAACAGTAGGAGTTAGGGCGGTAAGCGTTCTGACTGGTCAAAAGCGCGAGATTGGGGTAACTGATAGTCTTTTTGTTGGTTATAGCCATCATATGTCTGTAGATTTTACCGCTGATATATACGCAGAAGAAACGGCGGAATTGTACCAATATGCCGCAACAAACGCCGCGTTAAATAGACAAGGAAATAATTTTGCAGTAATGCCTATAACCTATCTTATTCCGGAGTGATTGAAAATGGGATTATTTGACGACAATAACAACAAAATCGAACAGATTTACAATTTGCTTTCAGCACGTGAAGCCAAATCCTATAACGAGGATCTGATAATTCAGTTCCCATCGTCTCTGGAAGAAATGCAGATTGCCGGCGGTGCAAACATCACGACACTAAACCGAAGAATCAACAAGAAACTGATGTACATTACCGTATCAATTCCGGAAAACGGCATCATGGAAGTTTACAATAACAATATGGTAAAACTGTTCTTCTGCAATGAATCGGGTACTTTGCAGTTTCCCAATGGTATTTGGTTTGAAGACATGATGATTAAATTATATAATCCATCACAAGATCCGGCACGGTTTAACTACCGAATGATTTTCGCTTCATGAGGTTTTTCCAAATGGCATTGGCAAAATCAAATTGGGACTACCTGGGAATTTTTCCGGATAAACTGAAAGGGTCAATGTGGGGTTTTCGCGGTATAAAATCCTATACCGGCAACCCCTACCCTATTGGCATTTTATCGACTGAATACCTGGATATTGTAACACCTTCACAGGGTGAAATAGACTGCAAAGCTATCAATACGTTCGGTTTTTCGTGGTTGCTCTCAACGGATGCAGGAGAGACCTGGAACGTTCTGGAAAACGAACATAAATCATACATCATCCCTACGTACTCTCTGGGCTCACATGGTGAATACCTATATCGTTGTGTTTGCGTAGGTCATTTAGGCACATTCACGACAGAACCGATAAAAATTACCGTTACAGAACCTCAGGTAACTATTGAATTACGACCACAAGAACCGGTCATTTCATTAGGCAGTCATACCCGTATAGATTCTGTTATTTGGGATTCTGAGACTTATATTAAAAGTCATAAATGGTACCAGAGATTCAGAGAGACTGAAGAAGAGGCTTGGCTTGAATGGGCGGAAATTCCAGAAACAGGGCTTGATCATACATTCGTAGGCAATGCTTTAGGCTTCTATGAGTTCCGCTTCGATGGCGTGCAGTATGATGACGTCATAGTATCGTCAGAACCGGCGGCTGTTCAGGTCGTTGAAGTCACTGAGGAGGAATAAAAATGACTGCAAAGAAAACCAATACTTACGGCGACCTCAATAGCGTCAAAAAAGAGGTAGAAAGAATATATTCCCAAATAGGCACTCTTGAAAAGGAGCGTGCAAAATGGGACAAGATGGGAGATAAAAAGCGCGTTAAATACTACGATGACCTCATAAAAGACAACGAACACAAAATAAAAACATTTCAAAAAGTTATTTCGGATGTTGAAAAAATGACTGCAAAGAAAACGGCAAAGAAGGCTTCAACAACCAAGAAGACTTCCGGAACTACGCGGACTAAGGGACTGCATCAGACGGGAACCCAGACGCTTGAAGGGCGGAAAATGGATCTGAAGATAAAGGCAGAACTACCTGGAAAGCGAACTTCAGCGACCGGCAAAACGTACTATGAGTACAGAGTAAACAGAACGGATATGCCGACTGAACGAGAGGATTTTGAGAAACTCTTTGGAAAGGTAAAGCGTGCGCCGAAAGCAGAAAAGAAGACTTCAAGCAAGAAGACTGCATCTGGAACTGCAAAGAAAACAGCAGAAGCAATAAAAGCCGAACTGTATTCTACAAAGATTTCCTTAGACAGCGATAAACGGCACCTAATGAGACTTAACGAACTTCTCCATAACTACGAAGTTGAGAAGGCAAGATGGGAGCGTATGGGAGATAAACGGCGTGTTCAGTATAATGAAAACCTCATAAAAGAAACTAAGGCAGAGATTTTAAAATATAAAACACGGGTTATTCCGGCTTTAGAAAAGGAGTTCGCAAAACTCGAAAAGGAGAAGAAGGAGTTAGAGACAAAGAAGACTTCAGGAACTCCGGCAAAGAAGACTGCCGGAACTGCATCCGCTTCTAAGTCT